TAACATTCCAACAAGAGACACAGAACAAGGCAGAAGCAAAAAAAGGTGGCTGTGTTGCTTTAAAGTCCAACTGAAAGCAGTGACCTGATTAAAAGAAAGAACAGAGGAACAATGTGTGTTAATAAAGAGAATAGCATACAGGTGTCCATTAATTCGTTTGCATAGAGATTGTCCTGCTTGTCCTATGTAGAGGGGCACTGTTGGCAAAAGATGGCAAAGGAACAAGTAAGCCTTGATGTTGTGGGCGACATTGTTAGGCCCTGTAATAGTGTTGCCAGAATAAATGTGGAGGCAGAGTTGGCACCTAGATTTGTGGCAGGGTTTGTTCTCCATGTCTGTGTTAGTGTTTTGTGGTCCACTATATGTTAGTAATTACTTGGGGTTTCTCTGTAAGTAAGTATACTTATACTTGGTCGAGAGAAGTATTCTCGCCAAGGATGGCTGGAGATCACTTAAGATGCATGTGATTAGGCTCAGTTGTTTGACTGAAAATGGCAACTAGTGGTGTTCTGTCATTTTCTTATTGTTGTGTGTTTAGGATGGAAGCTGGAAATATGTAAGCAGGTGTATGGATCAGTGTCAGCAGCCTCTGCTTCTCCTTCACCAAAACTCACAAACAAAAGGCATGGGTCTTTTAAAAAAAAATCTTACACTTGCTCAGACGAGTGCCCAATGGTTTTTTAAAAAGTAGATTTGTTCAGATGAGTTTAACCCAGTTTTTGTTTGTTTGTTCATTAAAAGAAATCTACAAGGCATGTAGCTGAAAACCTATTTACATCTCATTAGATGACAATGTAGAGGAAGCCTTGAGGGCTGCTAATGATAAGATATTCTGTAGGTCACTAATTTGTAGGTGTGCTATAAGTCAGGGGCAACTTAATTGCACATAACAGATTAAAAAGCCTTTAAAAAATGACCTTAAAGATAAGTTTGTGTTAATTATTCATAATTCACATGGTTCTGTGGAACTGTCAGGTTCACATTTGGTTATATGAAGATTAAACATACTTAAGTCCCTTTGTTTTGCTGGATTCCGGGGGCCCACGTGTAATTGATTCATTACTTAAGTGTTGTTGTTTGCTAGTATTTTTTTACTTTACCAGCCTTTATACATAACAATACCATGTTAAGAGCAGCTGGATACAGAAACACACTTACTTTTGTACATCTCCCTCTTCTTCTTCTTGTTTTTGTTGTTGCTATTGCTGTTATCTGCTATCAAGTTGCCCCTGACCTATGGCAACCCCATGAATAAGCAATCTCCAAAATGTTTTGTCTTCAACATCCCTGTCCAGCTTCTGCAAACTCAAGCCTGTGGGTTCCTTTAGGGAGTCATCCCATCTCATATTTGGTCTTCCTCTTTTCCTGCTGCCTTCCACCTTTCCCAGTATCGTTGTCTTTTCCATAAAATCCTGTCTTCTCACGATGTGCCCAAAGTAGGACAACCTCAGTGTCAACATTTTTGTCTCAAGAAATTGTTGAGGCTTGATTTGATCTAGGACCTACTTACTCACCTTTCTGGCAATCCAGGGTACCTGCAAAGCAATCCTTGGAATGGGTGCCTGAGCCCACTTTCCCGCTTTGTGAAGAAATCATGTGCACAATTCCTTCTAAGAAAATAAGAAAGCTTGCATTTATTAGATAAATGTGCTTGGGGTAGTAAAAGTGATGGAAGTCCTAGTTCTAGATACCCAAGTTGGAGATATTAGGCTCAGGAGCCATGACTGCTCCATGCACATCTAGAGAACAAAAGCAAGATGTCTCCTCCTTGGAGGGACAAGAGAAAGATGTGAGAAGGAAGTGACACCAGCAACCCTAAGAATAGCAATATAAGGTCAAAGGAAGGTTAGCATAGATCAGAGCAGGTAAAGGACAGTCTAGGTGGAGATCTTTTTTAATCCTCCCCATGAGATGTGTCTTTTTGAGTGTGAGCTGAGTTGTATCCAGTCAATTCTATCAATGACAACATAAGAGAATGGGGAGCAAGGGAAGGAAAGAAAAGGAACACAGTTAAGATAAATGTGTTTGCTACCTGAAATGTGGGTCAGTCATCTAGAGCTATGTGCAGGTTAAGAATATGAGAAGATTCCTGATGAAGTGCTTCAAAGATCTATCTAGACCAGAACTCTTTGCCACAGTGGCTACTTGCATTAAGGAACCACAGAAGCAACAGGCCTGCTATCTGTCCATAGAAATAGAACACATTCCTCTTTTTTTGGACTTGGATAGTCCATTTAGTTATGATAATATCCAAAGATATCATCATCATTAGTTTTATTATTAATTTTATTATTATTAGTTTTATTAATATGTCACATTTCTCCCAAAAAGGGACTCATTATCCTATCATTCCGTATGAATTTATTTGATCCTTTTAAAAAAGCAGTATCAGGGGTGGGCCACTCTCTGTGCTATTATTTAACCTTGTGAACTGGTGCATGTATATTTTCAAAACCTGTTTCTTTCTCTCATTTAGTGCCATTTTTTAAATTGTAAATCTGCAGATGGGGATAGTTTTTTTTTTGTCAATAAAACATAAACCACATTAAGAATGCTTTTGATTTAAAAGCTGGGTAGAGATGCTTTAAATAAATTATTAATTTTATTATTATTAGTTTTATTAATATGTCACATTTCTCCCAAAAAGGGACTCATTATCCTATCATTCAGTATGAATTTATATGATCCTTTTAAAAAAGCAGTATCAGGGGTGGGCCACTCTCTGTGCTACTATTTAACCTTGTGAACTGGTGCATGTAAATTTTCAAAACCTGTTTCCTTCTCTCATTTAGTGCCATTTTTTTATTATTATTAGTTTTATTAATATGTCACATTTCTCCCAAAAAGGGACTCATTATCCTATCATTCAGTATGAATTTATATGATCCTTTTAAAAAAGCAGTATCAGGGGTGGGCCACTCTCTGTGCTACTATTTAACCTTGTGAACTGGTGCATGTAAATTTTCAAAACCTGTTTCCTTCTCTCATTTAGTGCCATTTTTTAAATTGTAAATCTGCAGACGGCGATAGTTTTTTTTTGGGGTCAATAAAACATAAACCACATTAGGAATGCTTTTGATTAAAAAGCTGGGTAGAGATGCTTTAAATAAATAAATAATGCTTGATGTTGCTTCTGTTAGGGAGCTATCAAAGGGTGATTTTCCATGGGAAGTCAAGAGGGGAAGGTGTTTTCTCCACCTGCTGTGTTCTCACTTCAACTCTTAATTTTTCACAGGTTCTTTTTTCACTTGCATGTCTTATTTTTAAAAGTACAGAAATCAAGGAAAATCTGGATCTAAATGTGATAACACTGTTACAAGTTAAGTAACATTGACTGAAACATTGTTTTCTATCAGTATCATACTCATGCTATTATAACAATACGTATGTAAAACAATGTATGAACCACAAATGTCTTGGGCACACAGATCCAGATTACAGTGCCAGGTTATGTTTTTGTGGTACATTTCAGTCAGTGTATGCCTTTTCTATGATAGCATGGGCCAAAATCCTGTTGGCTCAGTTCTGCCTTCATAACCAGAATCACATCACCATTAGTGGCAGGTTATCACTGATCAAAGACTCCCCCCACCCCAATTCCAGGATGCCCACAACTTTTTCTCATTGTGTGAGAACTGTACAAATATGGAATACCAAAACAAAGTCTTTAATGAGCTGCATACAGTGGCTGGTAGTCATGTCATTCTCATTGCACAGGCAGATCTGTGCAACAGGCTTATGCCCATGACAGTGTAATGGAAAGGGAATATGATAGTACTGTATTACAAATCATCACCTGTTGAATCCCTTGATATACCATTTGGGAGTCTCATGTGAAACCTTTCAACCATGGATATGCATTTGGATGTATGACTTTACAACGAGATACAAGATCAGAGAGTGGGGAAAGAGTTCAACCAACCTGAAAAGGACATGCAGAAAGTTTTGGTAGGAACCACAACAGATAGAAAGTATGCAATCACAGCAGAGTTTCATTCCATTTAAGCTTCCATGGCTCTGTCCTATGGAATCCTGGGATTAGTAGTTTGGTGAGGTACTTAGAATTCTCTCCCTGAGTCCTTAAGTCAAGTGTACTGCCCTGGACAACAACAATGAAGTCTGAATCCAGGTGTGATCAGATGAGGAAATAGACTACTTTGTAGTGTGCTCCAGAGGACATTTTTCCAGCGATCATATAACATACATGATATAGCGATCCAGCCTGACCGTGATCCTGATGCAGGATTACTCTTTTTTCGGGCAGAGTAAATTCTTGCATGGACAGAAGTCTTACTTTAAGGAAAATCACTCCCAGCAAAGCAACTTTTTCTGGAGAGATCAGACACGACCCTTTCTAGCTGTCTGATCACAACATCCTTCACAAACTACAGACCCCTGCGTTCTGTAATATAGATCCAATGCCAATTAAATGGAATTAAACTGCTATGCCTGTGGAGTGTACATGCACCCCCCCAGCAGTAGCTCCATAAAGGTCAGCCCCTGCTTTATCTCATAGATTAATCATTTCCTCTCTGTCCTTGATTCTAGGAACCATAATTTTGTCAGACAAAAAGGGAATTTTTTTTAGTAGAGAATTCTTGGCATATTTATCAAACTACAATCGTCAGGCTTTTGTTTGTTTAAAAATAAAAGAGAATCATTAATGAAAACGTGTATACGGTGGTTTAGTAAGCATGTTTTTAAAACATACAATTAAAGGGACGGGTCGGCAAGCGGTAAAGGGGGGAAAAAAACCACAACTTCAATACAGAGCAGATATTGGAAATAAAACGTGGACAAAATGGAAAAGACCGAAGCCTCCAGAAACTCCGCCCTCTGATTGGCTGGGAACGGAGGCTGGAATGTACAAAAAAAAAGATCAATGACGGAGAGAGGTGGGGCAGTAGGCAGCCAATAGGAATGGGGAACTGTAAGGGGGAGGCAGGATCATGACACCGTGATTGGTGGGGCATTGCAGATGAAGCCAATGGGGCGCCTCGGCGGAGCTTCGTCGTGAGCGTGGGCTTGTGACGTGGCCGGTCTTTTGAGCCGCTGCTGCCTTTTTCCTCCCAGCGCTTTCGGCGAAGACAGGAGCGACGTTCAGCTCTCGCAGGTACCGCGCGGGGCTTTGGGTGCGGAGGCGGCCCCCAGGTGGGGCCAGGCGGCGCGGGAAACGGGGTTGCGCCTCTGGCAGGAGCCTTCCTGGGCAAGGCCTGTCAGTTGGGGACGTTTTTGCGTGGCAAGACTGGGAGAAGAGGCTGGGCTAGCGAGGGCCGCTTTTTTTGGGGTCGGTTAATGCCCTTTCCGCCTTTGCGCTCCAAACTCTCTGCTTGCCTGCAGTTTTTTCTTAATTTAACAAACATCCCCCTACTTGGTTTGATGGAGCGCCAAGTCCTTAGCTTTACTGCCCCTGGTCAGCTCTTGCATGACTTCTTGAGCAGAGGCAGTGTTTTCCCCCACGTCGCTGCAAGGGATGTGTAGCCTACATGGGGAATCGGTACTCGTCCTGAAATCTGTTGGGTTTCAGTTCCCATCAGCCCCAGCTAGGCTGGCCAGTGGTGAGGCATAGGAGCAGGAGGGCCTATTTCCCTACTCACAGAATAGAGGGTATGGGCGGTTCGGACATAACTGGCGATGCCTTAGACGCCTCTGTCCATCATCTTGCACTCTACAGTAATATGTGATGTCTTATGACGATGGGGGATGAGCTGCCGTCCAGGTATAATTGAGCTCAGATGTCATCAGCCCTCATCATGCTTTGTATTGGCTAGACTTAATGCCTAGCTGTCTTCATTTCTCCCAGTTGTAGAGAACTATAGGGCTCCAGTGGAATAAGGGTATTTTAACAATCGTCTCCATCCACCCAAAGTTGGACTTTCCAGGCATTGTATGGCAAAGATTGCAGGTGGAAAAAGGCAGTGATTTTCAAATGTAAATTGGCTTCAGGGAAATGGGGGCACCTATGATATAAATACATGTTTGATTTGTTTTTTGTTATACTGGTGCTGCTAGTTGAACAGGCTTTTGTGGGTTTTGGAAACAATACAAACCTTGCAAATCCAGTTCACAGAAGCTAAAGCGAGTTGAATATACGCATTTTGAGCAACATCCCCTCTTCAGTACTGACTCAGCTCTTCAAGAATGCCTTTTCAGTCATCCAAGATAGAGACATTGTTAAATAACATTACAAATGTGGTTTTAAAATTTGTTGTTGAGTGGCATGTATAAAAATTGATTTTTCATAAATATAAATAATATTTTATGTAGAAAATACTGCCTCATTTCCTTTTGCTGTTCTGTAATAGTGGTGAATCCCAAAGTCATGTTTGTACAATGCAGCCAACCAAGGACACTGACTTGTCATGAATGAATCATGTTTTGGTGCATGCTAATTGATTGCTCCTGGTTGCAGTGAGAGAGCCCAAATGAATTGGTGTTAGTTTATTGTGTTTTCTAGTGATTAGCAACTTCTTTTCTTTATATGGTGCTAACAAAACCTTGATTCTCTAGTTTGTTGAGAGGGAACAGGCCGGACAAAAGAAGATGCTTACTGCAAGGTCTCGCAATAAACCCACCACAAAGGAAGCACCCTGGCTTGTTCAGCTGGAATGTTGGCAGCAGTCAAGATGGTCTACAGGGTACCCTCTTCTGCTTGCTACCATTCACACTTTTTGAAAAAGAGCCCTGACAATTGCTTTGTCTTTGGGTGAGAAGTGGTTAAGTGATGAAAAAAGGATCAACTTTTGAGATTTTCCCTTGTGTGGTGTTGATTTGTGAATGGTAGTGAACAGAAGATGGTATCCTGTAGACTGTCTTTACCATTGCCATTGGTATTGTCAACATTCAGGCTGCTCTTTGCTATGTAAAGCTTGACATCCTTTTTCCTGCTGACAACATGAGCATGATATTGTGCAGCAATATTGGGTCATTTCCTGTATGTTCGAATTGTGGTAGAGAAGCACTATATCCCACATTCATAAACTGGAGGTTTTTAAAAGAATTGAATTGATAACATTTAGACCTGTTCACTTCAATAGGTCAGCTCTTAATATTTGGAAAAAGTAGCATCTGTTATTTATTTATACATATTAAGCGGGCCAGATTTTTTTCTCCTGATGGGTGTGGAGAACCCATCCTGTACAGTCCTATCACAGTGAGTATTTCAGTCTGATGTAACTTTCAGTGATGCAATTTTACATCTGGGTCTTCTCCAAATTTTGACATGGTGAAGTACTTGCTCTTTTTTCTTGTGAAACCTCTGAATGTCTTTTTGGAATGGCATTGTCATCCTGTGTTAATATTAAAAAGAATAGTTGTTGGCTCCTTCTGAAGAATATTTGTAAAGATTCTCAGTCATCTAGGTGAAGTTATCTGGAAGTTGAGTCATGGCAACTGGACTTATTTTGTTATTAGGTTGAAACATTTCACTACTCATTCAGGTAGCTTCTTCAGTCTGAGAAGAGTTGGTAGGAGACCCCTGATACATCCTCCACGTTGGTTTCACTTCCGCCTAGTATGAATAGGCTTGTTAGATGGACAAAGGACTGGGAGTGAGTGAAAGATACAAGATAAATATCTGGAGTAGCATTGCCTAGTTTTCCTGAGACTGGAAAGCTCTGGTTAAGTTTTGCTTCATATGCAAATAGATGAACTTAGCAGATGTGGAGGCAGACACAACTTCAGGGCAGTTTTATGCTGTACTGCCCGATCTCCAGAAAAAGACCGTGTACATTTCACCTTCAACTCTCTGTCTGCTACTCAAAACAACTTTTTCTCACTGTGTTATTTGACAGGCACTGGTCTGCTTACCACTCATCCAGGAAAACTGCTAGTTCAGGAAACATTCACAGTTATCAATTCAAGTGTTTTTCAATTTTCTGTATTTTTTGTTTATTTTTACAATGTCTTCAAGGAACTTTCCATGGTGGCTTAGAAATGTCAGAATATCTGAAAAATGTGATTTTAAACAAACATGGACTAGAAGCTGCATAGAGTAGTCAAGCCACTCTACACAACCAAAGCAATAATTAGTTTTACAGCTGTGCATTTGGAAGTCTGCTTTCTGTACTTGAGATGTGCACACAAGTAAAGATGTTCTTAGTAGCAGAATATAACTCCAGTCTATTTACTTTGAGGAGTCAATTACGTGATGCTCTTATAATGCAGGTATTTCAGATGGAGATTGAGGCTGAATTTAAAAGACAAGTGGCTTTCTTCTGAATAGAGAACTTTGCATGCTTACAGAATGTCTCAGTTCTTAAATCTTGTATATGTCATGTCTAAAATATGCATACACACATGTGGGTTTCCATTGGCAGATAGCAAATGGTACTGAAAGATAAAACAGATCCTACGTATTTGGTTTAAGGATTAGGCACTGTCAGGGTGAAGCGATCTGGCAACAAGAATTCTATTGTAGCTCAGATTAGTTGCTCTTTAAAAACTCATGTATGAAAATGTGTGTAGCAATGTCAACAGGATGGAAAAATATTCTTAATCCTTTGCTGGCAGAATCAAAAGTCCAAGAGTCCAGGTAACTAAGCTCTCTTCTGGTTTTCCAGTTTTTTTTCTACCAGCAGCTAGGAAAGTAATATTTCAATAATACATTCTATTAGTACAACAGACACTTTGATATTGGCATACTGAACTGCACTTCATTGCCCATTTTTCCAGAGCTACAGAATACTTTTTACTAGGACAGCTAGCTGGCATCCACAGTGCTTCTTGAAGGTTGCTGGTCTTTCTTGAGCTTGTAAATCTAAATAGGCTCTTCCTATTCAGTAGGCAAGGTGAGAAGTACCGTACATTTTTCCTCCAATGTGGACCCCATATGATGGGAGACTTAATTGGATGAATGTTCTGCCAACGTATAGAAAAACTTAATAAACAGAATATGTTATTTTGCTGCTTGGTCACCCTGGAACATCTGTTCCAGTTATCATAGCTTAGAAGTTACACTGTTTCTTCTTCTTGTACCTGTCTTGTAAAACACATATCCTCTAGATTTGGCTTCATGGTTTGGAGTGCAGATTTTCTGAACAAATCTATTAAAGTAGCTTTTCTTTCCCCACTTCCTCTGCCATGCCACTCAGTCTCACTACCAGACTATGCAGTTTATACCTGTCAGGAAGTAAGAGAAAAGCCAACTATCTGAATGAGAAGTTTGCAGCATGGAATTGTTTTTTTTCTCAAGCAAAAGCTACTGCATAACTCTAGAACTCCCTGACAGGTATTAGAGGTGTGAATGGTTGTAGTTGAGCTCTGGACTGATTAGAAGTGTGTGGACTTGGCCTACTTTGGAAGGTCCACCTTACAAGATGGGAAATGGTCTCCATTACTACACATATCGATACCAGATGCTGGCACACACAGTCTGGCTGTTGTCATCATGTACTACTTGTAAATCTTCAGAAAGTATCTAGGTAGACGTTGATAGGTAATGTGAAGTTGCATGACATATATAATTAATTTGCTCTTACAGGTTTTTCCTATGTGACAGTGTGCAAATACAGAATGTTATGGACACTAGAGGGCATAGCTTTCACCAGAGGTTAAAGGCAATCCAAGAAGATATGAAGCAGACAGCTTTTGCAATAGAATCTTATATTGAATTAGTATTGCAGAATATACATACAGCATAGTCCATTTAGTTCAGTCCTAGGTCATTCACAGAGTCGCAATTAGTCAGTCCATTTTACCAAGCCCATAAATCAGAGTTCATGGTCAATCCAAAGCCATAAATTCCTCCAGCAGCATTCCTCCTCCTTCTCCTGTCGACCTACAAGGTTGAGTACGCTGGAGCTGTTGGCTTTATCTCACCATTCAGCCAATTGTTGATTAGCTGGAATCCTCTTGGTTAGTTACACTGGCATAACTGCAGAGGTGAATTGCTATTATTGAACAACTTCTATCTCTTATCATACCCCAGCTCATGCAACTGGCACATGATGAGGGATAAAAATTGTGACTTATTAACTAGGAGGAATTCACTACTTCTGTTTATGCCAATGTGTTTCAACTGGAGTGACTAACCAGTAGGATTCTGGCTATCATTGCTATTTTTATTTTGGATAATTTTATCAATTTATTTAATTTCTAGAGTACTTTATATTAGTACTAGTTTAATGATATCTAATTATGTTTCGTTATTAGTGAACATATACAGTACATCTCAACAATGATATGCCTGAGTGTAGCATATTAGGCAGAGGCTTCAAATGGAAGCCTACATTTGAGTCTCCTGTGGAGGCCTTAATTTTATAGTCAGCAATTAGAAAGTTGGTATCATCCTTTGTGAAGCAGGATCCACTCTGTGTGTTATAGCTGAAGAATTCAACCCTCCACCCCAATGCATTGGGATCTTGATTATCTTAATGGCATTGGGATACTGAGTTAATATAAGAAAATTATTCCAATTCCTACCTGTAACCTCAATGTTTTTTCTAGGTTTCATTTAATAAACAATAATGAGTCCTTTTGTAACATTGTTGCTGAAGCAATTGCCCCATACAAATCTCTTGGTTTCTTACCCATTTTGCTCATTGTGAACTTTTCTATTTTCAGATCATATTGTAATCATGTTTTCCAAACTGGCTTGTCCACTTACTCTTCTCCGTCGGGGTGTTCATGCTTCAGTGAGCTCAGCAACCTCAGTTGCAACTAAGAAAACGGTCCAAGGCCCACCGTCATCTGAATACATATTTGAACGTGAATCTAAATATGGTGCACATAACTACCATCCACTCCCTGTTGCACTTGAAAAAGGAAAAGGTATTTTATTGTTCAGACTATCTAGTATGTTCATAGGCAACAGTGATTTAAGTAGTGTTGGGGTACACAGACTTTAGTGTGGTGGAGTGGACAGAGGAATGCACTAAGACGCAGGAGACCTAGGTTCAAATCCCCACTTGGGCATGGAAACTCAATAGTGGGTGGCAATGGTAAAACTGCTCCTTAAATGTCTTACATACTTTGAGAACTGTACTAAGGTCATCATATACTAGATGCAATTTGACACCACGTAACACCTGTACAATTCAAGTATGCACTTTTTTTTTTTGCTTCCCCCCCATGACAGATGAACTATTACTGCAAGAAGCAATAATTACAGGGCACTACTGCTGGTAGATATGCTCGGTCTTTTTTGCTTGCCATTCCTGCTTTTTTTTTTCAGAAGGGAGAGAATATTGAGGTTGTCAACAGCCATAGTACTCAGTTGTCTTTTTAACCAGCTGAGGTGTACAGAAGAATCTGAAGCTGCTGTTGTATGTCTGCCCTGATTTCCTTTTCCAGGAAAGAGAGAAGCAGTAAGCTCATGTGAATTTATACTTGGGGAAGGAAAGGCACAAAGAAGTAGAAGGAAGGGGCCTGTTGGGAGTTGTCTACAGCAAGAGATGGTAACCTCCTATTCCCGTTCCTGGGGCCTGAACCTGCAAACACCAGGCCACTCCTGGCTTAGGTTGGCCCTGATCTTACAGCTCCCAGGGCAGTACGGGCCAGATCCCGACAGCATGTTTCTGCTGCATGTAAAATGAATGCATAGGCAGAGGAGGGAAGTTGGGGCTATCTCCTTGTTGTATGTGTACATATGGTAGTAATTGCATGGTAGCATTTGTTTCATGAGCATAATTATGATGATTAGAAACTTTATACCTGAAGGCAAAGTATAATGGGACTAATCCAGAGGCTTCTTTTGCAAGAGACATAAGACATTTAGAGAAAGGTGTAAACCAGCAAATAGAAATTGATAGAAGGAGAGAAAGGAATATTAAGTTGTTACAATATAGATAAAGACTGGGCAGGTAATGTGTTAAAAAAAGAAACAACCAATTTGTTGGTAATAAACTGGGGTGGTCGGTCCAGGCTTCCTGTGCATGTATACAGTTGTAACATGCACCTTGTGCAAGAACACTGCATATAAAACCTTGTTCAGACATAACACGTGGTGCATTTTTGAGCACCAATTGTTTACTGGAGTTATCATGCTGAAGTTTTATTGCCTTCAGCAAGCTTCATCGTGTCATGGGAATGAATCTTTAGTCTAATTAGAAGCTTAAGTAGTGTCAAAGTCTAACTGTTGTTGCTACTAGATAACCTTGTAATGTTAGATTAATGCTTGCAGAAAAGTGTCTGGAAACTATTTACAGGTCAACTTTTTTATTGGCTGGCAACTGCAAAGTAGAGGTTTGGTACAACAGTATTATCTCTGTGAACATTTGTTCGGCAGCTAAATAAGTTAACAAGGCAGTGTAAAGCAGTCCTATCAGGCTCTTCCTTGAGGACAAATAAACTATTTCATCTTGGCATCTTGCAGCCTGCTGAAGCATATCGATTGGGAAAAAGGAAGGCACCTTATGTTACCTTCTGCTCACTTTGGAAACTTGAAAATAGCCTTCCCTTGGCGTCATCCTGCTGGTCTTTGACTGTAATAAAGTTATCTTATCTTATCCTTGGCTTCATTCTGTACGTAGACCTACAAAAGGCTTCCTCATTGTAAAATGTGAGTTCACCTGGGATGCCTGGTCTGCCTTACAATGATTTGGACAAAAGCTGCGTGTTGGGCACTGAGAGTGAAATGTCAGCATAACCTAAATGGGAAAATCTGCTCATCACATGTTGGGGGGAAACCTCTGGTTTCCCATGATTATTGAACACATCTCATTTTTGAATGCAGATTGCTGCATGCTGATCCTCTTGGAAACTATAACTGACAATTAATTAATGCCTCCAAGGAGCTGTGTCCTGGAAGGAGATGGGAAATCTCTGTCAAACAGGGCGGTCTTTGCCAGTTAAAGTTAACTAAGAGTGCTATCTGTGGTAATCTACAGTAGGTTATCATAGGTTTTACCCACGACCAGCACTAGGAAAGAGGAGATCTTCTTGGCAGTTCATAGTGCACATTAAGGATTTGCTTGGCAAAAATGCAGTACAATTTTCAAGGGAATAGAGTAACTTTTTCCCTTTAACTTTAACTGTTTGTGCTTTTGGACATCAGTCTTTCTCAACTGTCACATTATAGTCTATCCCAGCCTTTGTAACTCATGTGTTCTTTGTACATATATGAAAACAATTTTAAACTGCAAAAAGATGAATTGTAAATCTTTTTTGTCCAAACCTCTCTGGAAAAAGAAACATGTGAGGTAGGTTTTACTGAAATGCAAAATTTATAGGAGGGAGATCGTGCTTTGCAAATAGTTTATCTCATGCTTTTTATCAGTTGAGTGACTCACTGAACAATCCTAAACACGGCCACTCAACACTGAGTCTAATTTACTCCCAGGTGAAACAGCACAGGACTGGAGTCTCAAACACTTGTGTGTCAGTCACTCTGTCCCTGAATTCTCCCAAACTATAAATGTTGTGAAATGGTTATATGCAGGTTGTGTTCTTTTAGTATTCTGCTAGAACCTGTCCTAATTTGTTTTCCAGGTGTTTATGTGTGGGATGTAGAAGGCAAAAAATATTTTGACTTCCTCAGTGCTTACAGTGCTGTCAATCAAGGCCATTGTCACCCAAAGATTGTAGCTGCTCTGAAATCCCAGTGTGACAAACTGACTCTTACCTCCAGAGCATTTTATAATGACGTGCTTGGTGAATATGAAGAATATATCACTAAAATGTTTAAATACAACAAAGTGCTCCCTATGAATACAGGTAATGTTCTCTGTTTTCTGCAAATTGTGTGTATCCTTTGATTTGAATGAAAAACTATAGGGGACATGTGTGGATTTCTGAAGTTTGAACTTGCTTCCTGGGTATTTGGAGATCTGTTGGGTGTAGCATTCTGTCTTTGCTTTGCTTACTACCATTAACTATATGCATTTAATTCTCTCATACTCCCAAGTGAACCAACCACTCCTGGTTCCTTGGCCCTGACATATTTGCTCACTGGAGGGGAGAGAGAGAAAGAGAGACAAAGCAGACTGATGGATTTGTGGAGACTGATATTGCTTTTCTTTCACCTTTTCCTAGGATTCAAAGTGTTCACTTTTATGCTTTGGCAGGGGTTGTTCCTTAACAGTTTCTTCTAGCATTACAATTCTCTGACTCCAGGGCTAGAATCCCATTTGCTTGGGCAATCGCATAACCGTTTCCTCATTCACATATTCTCACAGGCTCTCCTTTGCATGAGCAGTCTTGCACTGTTTGCAAAATCAGCTGCATAATTTGCCACTGCAAAGGAGAGTAAATAGAAGGAGGAGATGACTCCACAATTTCCCGCATGCTGTTGTATTCCACCTGAATTTGGGGCTATGAAACTAAGAGTTTGCTCCTGCTTTGGTTTTTGTAAGGAGTGTATTTATCTTACCAGATCTTTTCATTATACTGTTGGAGGTAGTCCATATCATAGTTTCTGATATTAATGGATTTCTTCTTCTGTGCTCCCCTTACCCCTATGTACATGTTCTCTTGACTTAGGTGTCGAGGCTGGAGAAACAGCATGTAAACTGGCTCGCAAATGGGCATATACAGTGAAAGGAATCCCGAAGTACAAGGCAAAGATTATCTTTGCAGGTATGCCAGAGCTTAGTACTGCAAGAAAGCATTGCCAGACTGTAAGGCAAAGGTGATGGACACTGTAGATTATCTTAAATTAAGATTATATTTGCATTGAAGGAGTTTTTCTCCCTTTACAGAAATATGAAGTATGCCATATTGTATTTTCTGTTGCTTGCAATCAATCCACTGCATAATTTAAATTAAAACTGTATTGTTTTGCCTTCTCTCTTTTTCATATTTTAAACAATTAGCTCAACGTTCCTTCTAATTTTCGGAAGCACTGTGCAGGTGCTTCGCCCCTTGCATGCCAGGTTTGGCAGCAACTGAAAGCAGATGGGTGTTAACACTTGCTCAACTGCGTGCGCTTGATGCAGCTCTGTGGACCTGCATGCCTGTGGTGCTTAGAGGGAACATTGGTTCTTGTGTTATTTGATGGCATAAAGAAACGATGTCAAAGTGAGAAGGTTAAACTTTGTGTGTTGTGGACTATGGGGCTTAGAATGCTGCTAGTAAGTCAGGACCACAATCTGTGTGTGTCACATTTTGTATGTGTCACAGTCTGTATGTCTTCTTATTGAGACAGAATGCCTAGGAACTAGTCAGCTGCAATCTGATGGACCAGTTTTTCTTGGCTCTGTTTAGTTGTTACAGAATGGTTCCTTTTAAAGAAACATGTAAGGTCCCCTCCCCTCAAAATGGTCTTTGCTACTGTTGCAGCTGATGCACGTCTTTAACATGTGGATTAGTTAAACTATAATCTGCTATTAGTTATGACTTTGCACCTTAATTGACCCCCTTAACTGTAAAGTTGTTTGAAGTTCAGAGTTAGAAGCTTTTGATTCATAAAATCCGTTGGATATGTTCAGTGAAAAGGAGAAAAGAAATTCCAAACGACAGATTAAAAGATGCTACATCTGGACTGGTTTTTGTCCCCCATTTGCCAGTGCCTTCTGTTACTAACTGTCCTGTAGGAGAATTCTGGGATGGGAGCAGGCAGGTGCTGTAGGCAGGGAGCAGGTAGTGGCACATCTCTACTCTTACTGGAGACTCCTGTCCTCCCTGCCTCTACTACCAAACTGCCCTGTAGGAATGGTGTCTGCAGATGGAGTGTGAGTTTTTCATATGCTTTCCTTGGTACTGGTAACCAGCCTTGGAAAGAGTTTTATCCTAAAATGTGGGATAGAAATAATTGTGGTAAATAATTATTTTCAGTTTGATCTTTTGAGGCAAAGACGAAATAGCAAATTTAGGGGCCTATTAGAGAAAAACAACAAAAAGAAAACAAAAAAACCTCAGAATCCAGCCAGACCTGTATACCCTTAGTAGGTAAAGGTAAAGGTTCCCCTTGACATTTAGTCCAGTTGTTTCCAATACTAGGGGGCGGTGCTCATCCCAGTCGCCAAGCTGCAGAGGTAGTGTGTGTTTGTAGACAGTTTCCATAGTTATGTGGCCAGCGCGACTAGACACAGAACGCCATTACCTTCCCACCATGGTGGTACCTATTTATTTACTTGCATTTACATGCTTTTGAACTACTAGGTTGGCAGGAGCTGGGACAAGCAACAGGAGCTCACTCCGTCATGTGGATTTGATCTTATGACTGCTGGTCTTCGGACCTTGCAGCATAGAAGATTCTGCGGTTTAACCCGCAGCACCACCACGTCCCTATACCCTTAATAGGATGGATTAAAATATTACAAAAGACTGAGCATGCCTTAGGCATTCTTCAGAATTCTTCAGCAGGCTGGATGTTACACAAAAAGGCATGGAAGTAGAGGAATAAAGCTGGGTTTCCTGTTTAAGCAACAAAGTCCAGTCTTACGGTGAAGTGTGGAAAGACTGCAAACTCATAAAGCAATATGTTGCACGATGGGGAATTGGGTGGAACTAGCACCATTTCATACACCTTTCTGACTGAGTAGAAAAGTGCAGGCTTTTCTCTTTAATTCCTAGTGCATACGTATACCCTGTTTCCCTGAAAATAAGCCCTAGTATGAATTTTCAGGATGCTTGAAATATAAGCCCTACCCCAAAATAAGCCCCATTTACGTGAAACCCCACCCTCCACCACTGTGCAGCATTGTGCCTCCCATCACAACTAACATCAATTGAAGAGAAATTAAGAAATGCCAACTTGTGGGTTGGCATGGGTCTTAGGTGTTTATTTGAGTGTAGTCAAGGGAATGAGGCAGCTTTGAATCCGGGACCACTCTGCTTCTCTTCAACATCACTTTCCCACAACTCTCATCTAAGGCTGAAGAGTTCAGGTGCATAGGTGCCACCACCCCAAATGGAGTAGCACTCAACACATGTTTCAGAGACCCTTTAGCTGCAAGGTTGCATCTTTTATTAGATCAGCTTGAATTTGCGGTAGCTGGGGCAAAAAGACAAATAATCGCCAATTCCTTATTTTTCCAAACATAAAATCCAAAATTTTCTGTTAGTTGTTAAACAATGTCAGGTTAATATATTTTATTTACTTAAATGATACCCTTTTTCATTAACCATTGCAGTAACTTTTCATTAGAAAGAAGACATTTAAAATTTAAATATGAATGTGTTGTTTGCTGCCCCCAGAAATGGTTTATAGAGATTTCTTTCTTTTGGTGTGACCTTGTTCCAAAAATAAGTAGGATAATCTTGTAAAAGGGATCAAAGCTAGTAAAGGGGCTTGATTTAGATCCAGTCTTTGTAAACATAAAAATATCTACCTTTTAAAAATATGTGATTTCTGATCACCTAAGATTTTTGAGTTAGTGTGGCTATATTACATACGTAAGCCATCAGAATGGGTGCTGCACTTGCAGTTAACTTTCTCTCTCCTCCCAGCTGGCAACTTCTGGGGAAGAACACTGTCTGCTATCTCAAGTTCAACAGACCCTTCCAGCTATGATGGTTTTGGACCATTTATGCCAGGGTTTGAAGTCATTCCATACAATGACTTGCCTGCTCTTGAGGTACCACATTGTTTTCTATTCTGTGAGTTCATGTATTGATTTTTTTTTGCAATGTCTATTTTTATTCTTTTCTCTATTCCTTTTCCTTTTTGTGTTTGTCTTGGGAATCTGATTGAAGGTCCTTGACAGCTAATGGTAGTGCCATTGCACTTTATGTTGAAGTTTATGGATGTGATCCTGTTCACTGATGCATATGATGGATTTGCATGGGTGAGCTGGTCCTAGATGGTTGTACATTTAAGTCTTGGGCTCAAATCTAGTTGCTAGAACCAACTGCGATAGATTCCATTTAATTAGTTGCTGAATGGTGAGTCAACACTTACATCCAACATTCCCTCTAATTTTCAGCCCTGCTAGCCAGGGCTCTGCTCCTCGAACATGCTGCTGCCCTTCAGATTTGGGTTCCATTGTGACAGGAAGCAGAGGCTGAAAGCAGTCGCTCAGGGTGCACAGAGGAAGAGCCCTGCTCAGAGTGGGCAGAGTCACGCACACAGGCACACACCTTAGAAAGTACCTTGCTTGCATCAATCCCATTGATCCAGTTGGTGTTCTGTAATTGGTAGTACCAACTGGATTCAGACCAGCATTCACTTGGCCATAAAAGTTCATGATTTATTAGCAGAGATCATACAGTGGTGCCTTGCTTAACGATTGCTTCGTTTAACGAAAAATTTGCTTAATGATGGCTTTTTCGGAGCGATCTTGCACTCGGTTTAACGATTTTCCCTATGGGCGATTTTCGCTTAGCGATTTTGGGACCATGTTTTGCTTAACGTTTTTGGTTTTAGGTCCCCCGTTTCGTTTAACGTTTTTTTTGACAGCCCTGTTTTTTGCTATGTTTAAAATATTCTAAAATGTTTAAAAATGTTTAAAATGCTTGGAATCATTAGTGCACCTTATAAAACCTTCGTTAAATTAATTTGGCTTTGTTCTGAGTCTTTTTAAATTTTTGTGAATTTTTTTTTTCACCATTGAAATGCATTGAATAGGTTTCAATGCATTTCAGTTGGGGAACTGCGTTTCTCTTAAAGATGTTTCCTATGGCGATTTTCCTTAAGGACGGCAATCCATTCCTATTGGAACGGATTATCCGGTTTTCAATGCATCTCTATGGGAAAATGCGTTTCGCTTAACAATGTTTTCCCATAGCGATTTTTTTTGGAACCAATTAAAATCGTTAAGCGAGGCACCACTGTATTTTGCAACTTAGTGATGGTAATTTGATATAAACCAGCACTTGGTACATTTTCAGTGGGCATAGGAGAATCATCAGTTCTTCTGATATCCAAAGAGAAAGGAATAAAATGGTTTGCATCACAAAAAGAGTAGACGGGGATTGAAAGATACAGTAGGTGTGGGGAGTCTTGGGGCCCTTGAGGGACTCCACACAACATTTTGCAGGTCTCACTTGTTTTTAACTGCAATGTTAAATGTTGGTAAACATGATATAGTAAGGGTGCAATCTGTTCTCCATTTATCCCACTTTAAGGGGAACTGAGGAGTGGAATGGGATGCTTGTAGTATTCACCTATTTTTCTAAAATAAGTAGCAAACTATTTCTCTAGGAAATCAGTATGTGCATACCCATTTAAAAGTTATAAACGTACAGGTGTTATTGGTGAGGCTGAAAGAGTATCTCTTTGTGCATTTAACTTATTTTGTTTTCTCTGCAACATGCTCCTCTAGCGGGCACTTCAAGATCCAAATGTAGCCGCTTTCATGGTTGAGCCCATTCAGGGCGAAGCTGGTGTGATTGTTCCTCATGAAGGTTACTTAACGGGTGTACGAGAACTCTGCACAAAGCACAATGTAAGTAACTCGTTGTACTTAAAAGAGAACATTTCAACTTTGCAAAGTCACCAAGCCTTTCAAGTAATTAATACAATGAATGCCTTTTATAAGATTGCGATCTTATACTGCTGTTAGTATTTTAAGAAACATAGTAGTTCATTCTGGACATTGGTTTTTAAACACTTGAGTCTGTCTATTCCTTTTTATTTTTGTTCTGCATCCTAATAGCATATAATACATAGTTTCTTGAATTTTCCAAAGGCCCAGCAGTCAGTGCTGCAGAATTTTTGTAGAATTCAATGCCCTGCTTTTCTCACAGTGACTTCAGTTTTGTCCTATTAGAACAGTTCCCCCCCCAAAGGTGAGCCATTGTTCAACCCTCTTATCTTAACAGTTCTCTGCCTATCTTAAGTAGACAGCAAAATTACTGGACTGTGGATTGTGAACCCTTTAAGTTTGGACTTTATTCTACTTTGGGACAACTAGTCTTTACTTTTCACTGTGTTTATCAGACTATTTTCAGATAATTTTGTGAATAGCAGTGGAGAATCTTGCCTTTTGGAATGTTTAAAATGTACACACCGCTTGGACTTTATCATACTTACAAAGGAATTTAGAGACATACTAGGTTAGAGATGTGGTCAGGAGAGTTATATTGCAAAATCTGTTTGTATAGAACCTTTAAATATCTGTTATTTTCTGGTGCTTTCCAGTGAGAAGTGGGATGGTGGCCACTCTGAGTGTGAGGAGCTGTGTGTCTCTGTCATCCTCTATCACCAGAAGATGTCCTGATGGGCAATCTGGCGAGACATAGTTCTCCACCTTTGCTATAAAGTATTTCCTACTATTTAAGATGCATCCCTCTTATTTCTTATGATGTACACAATTCTAAACTTTTTTTTTAAACTTTAGAGCTATGCATTGTAGCTGTCACTTGGTTCTGTTGAGTAACCTTTAAAAACTGGATTTGTTTGTGAAATGGTTATATTCTGTTTCGGGTAGTTTGGAATGGAGTAGGTTGAAACACTTTGAACTTCGTATACTGAGGTAGTAAGTACTCAGAATATGAGCAGCAGCTTATACACTAATCCTTTTTAAAAAACCAAACAGGTTCTCTTTATCGCTGATGAAATCCAGACTGGGTTAGCTAGGACTGGGCAAATGCTGGCTGTTGATCATGAACATGTTAGACCAGATATCATCCTGCTTGGAAAGGCCCTTTCTGGAGGTGTCTACCCTGTAAGTATTGTTTCTTCTGCAACAAAGTATTCTAAATGTCTCTGGAGTTTTCAACAAATAAAGTATAAAACAGCTGTAAGGAAAGGTCAGTGATGGGGTGAACTCTGTCAGGATGACATTTCTAGCATACAAACTCTTACAGCATGGTAGTGTTCTCGCAAAGCATTCCCACTTTTCAAAAAACAAGCTGTAGGGGAAGGAGAGTAGCACAGTACTATATCTACAAAGGAGGTTAATGTTGCTGGATGCTCTTATATCCATGGTATACTCTTCTTT